GGCGATTTCTCCATTGGCAAGCCTCTTCCAAACTCCTAGCAGCTTCCTTGATCCGTCCATCTACTCTCAAACACCGTCCAACCCAGAACAACAGCTCAGATCTCTCCTCTATATCGAGCTCTTTGCTCTGCTGCAATACCCTAAAAGCATGCGGAAGGTACTCTCTCCACATGTTGCGATTCACATAGTTGTCAGATGGGAAAATTGTCGCAAGATGTCGAGTCGCCTTTTCATCCGTCGTTGCTATCAGTCCCTCTCTCTGTACCCAAATTCGCGTTGCCAAATGTACCAGATTGTGCATGTCGAAAATTTTGCTGTGCCCCCGTCTGGTTAGAAAGGCGTATGCGCATAACGTCCCGATTGCATCGACCAGCTGCTCCGTCGACTCGGAGCCGGGGAGCAGCGACTGAGGTATTCCTTTGGGCTCGATGCACGATATAAACGATAGCAGATCGGCGGCAGCGTTGTCGGACTTGCGGATCTGGTCAAACGATACGAGCCATGTTGTCGCCACCGCATTCTGCGACCCTGGGTACCGAGTATTGTCCCGAAACTCTTTGCTCATCAGGCCGATGATGTTCTGCTGAGTGCCGTGTAGCAGCTCGACGTACTCAGCAATTGGTACCTGTTTAATATTGATATAAGCCGCCGCCTGTGTAATCGCTAGGGGAAGGTAGGTAAGCTCCTTCAGCAGCTCTGCCGTCGCCGCTTCATCGCGAAGCATATCTTTCTGGATCAGCGACCTCTCAAAAAATTCAGCAGCCTCCGGTGCGTCCATCTCGCGCAGCTCAATCACATCGCTCCCGGCAACCGACACGGCTACTTCTCGAGACCGTGTGGTGAACAGGGTGAGGCCGTCGTCGCTTTCGGGAAGGTACACGCTGATACCGCCCGGCATATCTGCAGAGCCAAAGAGAATATCTCTGTCATCTGCATTGTCCACCACAAGAAGCCATGGCCCGGCGGCTTCGGAGCTTAGGTACCGTCGCACGGACACCTTCAGATCATCGTCATCGCCGCCACTTTGGATGGGGAGATTCCTGGCCATCGCGGTAAAGGCCTGTTCAAGAGTCGCCTTGCTCAAGGCAGGTACCCAGAAGATCGAGAACTCGGGCCGGTGTTTCTTTGTCCAGTACGCCAGCTGGAGAGCGACCTGGGTCTTGCCGACACCGCCCAGGCCGACGATGGCGGTTTTCCGGCACTCCTTGCGCACGAAGAGCATCTCTTTAAGAGTGTCTAGTGTTTCCCTCCGTCCGACAAAGCGCCGATTCTCGGGGAGCGGGATATAGTGGCAAGGTAGTGCGGCACGGTCTGTAGCAAGTTTGGCAGTTGCTAGCCGATATTTCATTAGCAGGTGCTCTACAGCAAGCGTTCCCTAATCCTCTCCGGTAGATCTTTACGTACCTGTCATCGAAGGTATCCAGTGATCCAGGAATGCTTTCATACATGCCGCCGCGGTCGCGGCTG